TATGACATTATTAATTAATTGACTATCACTCCTTTAACATTCACAGAAAAGGTTTTTATTTATTTTTTTGCATAGAGGACATTATCAGAGATTGTCTGTTTTGATTTTTTTTTATAGATAAAGTTATGAACTACACTTACTAAAAGTAAGCTGTAAGCGTAGCAGATGTGTGCTTGTTCAGCTTTTCCTGTAAACCTCTGGTACTTTTTTTTTAACAAGCGAGCACAATCAATTAATAAAAACATTAATATTTTATTTATTTAACAAATCGATAAAATAGCCTGTCATGTGCATGCGTTATGATTTCATGACGTGAAATTGCTTTTTCTTTTAATATGTAAGTAAGTGGCAATTACAAGTAATTTCTGAAAACATAGTTTGCATATTGTCTTCTGAAGTACATAGAAAGTAGTGTTAATACTAGTTTTTTTAAACCACAGTACTTGGTACCACAATACAATATTTACTAAGAATTACATTTAAGACATTATTGTACTATATCACCAATTATAGACAAAAGTGTCTCCACATATGTTAATAATCACATGAATATCCAACTTGCAGGAGATGTAAGTACCAGGCATTACCTGAAATGAATAAGCATTAACCTGTCAAACACCAGGTAGATACGCTAATAAAAAAATACTAAAAGTGCTAACAAAGGCCTTTACAGTACACCAGCCTAGGAAACAAGGTTAGGTCAATTAGGGTTAAAGTATATTCCTGAATCATACTGTGTTTTCTGATCGCCTGCAGCTTTTTGGCAACTGCTGTCATACTGTATCAGGATTAAGGACTGAGATTAAGAGTTCCTGCAGCACAGCTGAGACTCATTCACTCCAGATGGCAAAAGAACAATCAGGACTGAGGGTAAAATCAAACACACACACACACACACACACACACACACACACACACACACAAACGCACCTGCATCTGAACTCACAACAGAAAGAAGATCATAAAAGCTAGCATAAAGTGGCATTTCAGAGTGCCACAGGAATCTGTCACTCCCCAAAGCGCCCATTAGCAGCCAGTGTTCAAAAACAAAACACAGACAGACATGGCTGCAAACCTGCTCATTCAAATTATAGCCAATCACTTATCCACAACTATCTTTACCCTATATGGGTTCTCGCAAACCCATGTTCCCTGTAGACTACAAGTAAACATATAATCCTTCTGGAAAATAATAGTAAAAACTTGTACTGGTTATTTCTTTTTGCTTTGGTAGTGTTTAATAGGGTATAATAGGGTCTTAATGGGTTAACTGGTGACTTATGATAGATTCTACAGTAAGCTAAAGGCCTCTAATGGTGACCTTGAGACATCGGTTTGTGGTTTAATGGTGATTTAGTGGACCTAACAGACTTCTGTATTATTTGCATGTATAATAACCCTGACTTATACAGCACTTATATATATCATTAAATGTTCTCTAAAGTACTGGCAAATATTCCATTAGGATGCAACAATTAATTATACACAGAGTATATCATGGATCTGCGTCTGTATCTGAATCATTTTTAACATCTTATGCTTTTAGAGGTCAGATTATAAAAAAGTTATAATTTAATATGCATAAAACATGCTTTAAGGCTTAATGGTGCATTGCAATTGCTTACATTTAATATTTTGTAAAAAGCTAGTGTATATATGTACAGTATATGTAGTATGTAGTTCAGAATATAATTAAGACTTAACAACAAGCTATGGCATCGCTGGGGATGCCTCTGCCGCCAGCAAGTCTAGTGCTTCTCGTTACTAATCTGTATGCCTCAAATACCCTTAAAATATATTTCAACCAGGAAGGAAGCTATTAAAGAAAAACTATTTCAGACATTTAACCTTGCTGTGACCTTGTTTGGATCAATTCCAAAGTCTAATCAGTTCATCTGCTGTTTACGATAATAATTGAACATAAATCCTACAAACATTTAATCACTTGTTCTTGCGATATCACATTAACGAGAATCTTAGATGGTCGGACAGACGGACAACTCAAAAACATAATGCCACCACCTAGTGGCAGAGGGATAAAAATGTATTAATTACAATAATGGGAAACTCCTCCACTAGATAATCCCTAATAGGAAAATGCAGTATAGCCACTATTAAGTATTTTAATTGGAACCCTTTATGAAATAAAATAACGAACACCATTAAAATCTAAAGAAATAAATCTGCAATGGAACCAGTACATCCTAAGGGGATAAGATCTACAAAATCCTAGAGTTAAAAACAAATCTGAGTGCACTGCAATGTGTCGCCATGGCACAAACAGAAACAGAAGAAAATAAAAGGAAAACAGGGTTCTTCAAGGGTTCATTGAATAATTAATGGTTCTTAGCTTCCATAACTGTTCTACTTGGAATCCATTTCTAATAAAGAAACTTTCTGGTTTATGTACATAAAACCATTATGGGTTCCCAAAGAACGACAACCAAAGAACCCTTAAGGGTTCTAAAAGTGCAGTTCGGTCCTCTATTCTTCCACTGCTATTAAGCAGAGTGTGGAGAGTTCTGAAACTTTATGAAATAGAGTCATTTCCATCTTTTTTGCCTCACTTTCAAGACATCTCTCCCTGCATATTCCTTATTTATGGCCTGATACTGGCCAGTTTTTCCCTGAGGCATATAGGACACAGATCCTAAATCATCATCGTCATTTAAGTAAATGCATCTTTGAACCCTATGAGCATCTGTGCCAGTGTGAAAATACTGGAAGAGCCAGCAAAGTGAAGATGGATCTCTCAGGCTCCATCTTGAGCTGATATATCAAATCAGCTAACAGGCATATTAAAGGATGAAAAACTGCAAAAGACTTTTTTTATTATAAACCAAGATTTATATTAAAACCAACCCCAAATTGTTGATCAGATTTTGCCTCAGCAGACAACAAACTGCACGTAAATTCACAGTATTCTATGACCATTTAAAAAAGCCACTATCATTGTCAGTATATGATCCATGATATGACAGTGGTGTAGTTTGGATAAGTTAACCATAGTGTCTCATAAACCTCCCTTTAAACAGAGAATAGTAAGCCATTTGTTGGTCTTTGGAGATCAATGCTAAATGCTGAGAGATCTGCTGAACTCTCCAACCTCTTACTTGATTGTCCATTACTAAACAGCTGTGTGTATATTTGCGTGTTGAGGCAATTAATGTATTGGCTACACCCAAACCCTCAGATTAACCTCATCAAGCAAAACAGATTTGTCTGGCTCTCTAAGATCTTCATATAAAATCAAATTTTGTCCAATAATACAGCTCAAGATTTGTCATCATGTGGTCATGTCCCCAAAAGAAGAGGCACACACACACACACACACACAGGGTGCAGTAAATGGGTCAGAGCAGCGGCATGATGTCTGCTTTCTCTCCATGGTTGATAATGATGTTCAGGCTCAGAGCTGATACTGATGTGATTTCTCTATCACCTCTTTCCCGTCACTGTCTCTCTCCTCTATCTCTCACCCCATCCTTCATGCTTTTACTTAATCTCACAATTTTTTCATACCAGGCAGCATGCATCTCTGTAGCCTCTGCTTGCCCTCTGCCGAGTCAACCCAGTTCTGTGGCGAGATTTGAGGACGGATTAGAACCGTGCATTTGACCGTTTCACTTGCTGTTTTCAGAAGTAACAAAAAGGGACTTATAAATGGAGAGACCTTGGAGAGGTGAAAGTGAAGACATGAGGGAAATATTCCTTTCTTTCCTAGACACAAGATGGGATAAAGTGTTGAGATGTTTTATTTCTCCAAGAACAGCACAGACAATTTTATAATAAGAAACAGACAGTTTGAACTGCATTAACAGTGGAGTTAAGCGTGCATAGTCAGGAGTTCATATCGAAATTACACACATCAGTATTCAGACCTGAGACTTTATTGTGGAAAAGATAGGATGTGCTGTATCAAGTGCTATTTCATAGGCTTGCAGCCAACTGAGAAATTTGCTTGAATGATCAATGACTAGGATCCTTTCTATGTACTGATCATATCAATCAGTCTTAATATACAGTATTAGACAACTATTAAAAGTTTATTTGAATCTTTGCCTTCTTCTTACCTGCCTGGACATAAAGGAAAGCTGTTCTTAAAACTAGTGGTCTAGGTACACCTGAAAAACTCCTGTCCCTAAAGCTCTAAACAACAAAAAAAAAAATTGGCAACCTCACAAGCATGTACTGCATGCAGGTAATTTTATTACACTGAAAGGGCTGCCTAGAAATTCAAGTTAAGCACCTTTGAATACAGTGAACTACAAAAATATTGATATAGCTTTTCTGAAATGGCCCTAACATAGCAACTATCAATCAAAATACAATCTAAAAACACTTTTCAACAACAACAACAAAAAAAAACAACAACAATTTATTCACTTCTACATGACATTCTTTCCTTTATGATTTTGCCTAGACATAAAGCTAGGTGTCTTATCCAGCTCAGACTATTTATTATAAAGATATCTACATGGCACTCTGTGGTAAAGTGTTTTTTTTGTGCTGCATGACAGTATGGTTAGTGTGTGTATGTCCAGTAGAGCCATAGGCCAGGTTGTTATACCATCAGACATAACATCATGGTTATGCTGGAGGTACAGCAACACAATAAAACACAATCAGTCCAGAGCACTGTAGCTGCAGGGTGTGACACTGAGTTATGACCCAGCAGACACAGTCAGACACAACAGGACCTGTAGAGCTGAACAGAGACTGCCACTTTTTCATCTGCCATGGTTCCAGAAATAACTCTGCCTTTCTTCAATCTAAAGTTTAAAGTGTCAGAGCAAACCAACCAGCTACAGTTGTTGTTGTTCTTCTTCTTTCAGCTGCTCCTGTTAAGGGACGCCACAGCGGATCATTGGTCCGCATATTTGATTTGGCAAAGTTTTTACATCGGATGTCCTTCCTGATGCAACCCTCCTCAATTTTTTCTAGGCTTGGGACCGGACTGGGAGTGCACTGTCGTGTGCAACCCCAGTGGCTGGGGGTGGTTCCCTGGCCGGGAACTGAACCCAGGCTGCGGAGGTGAGAGCGCCAAGGCCTTACCATTAGTCTTCCAGGGACCCCTAAACCAACCAGCTACAATTAAAACATTTAAATAAATAAAAAAAAAAAAAAAAAAAAAAAAAAAAAAAAAAAAAAAAAAAAAAAAAAAAAAAAAAAAAAAAAAAAAAAAAAAAAAAAAAAAAAAAAAAAAAAAAAAAAAAAAAAAAAAAAAAAAAAAAAAAAAA